TCTCATATTTTTGCATTTGGTGGCGCACTTTCGGCGAGAGTCGGAAATCCGGAAACAGTCGACCGTTTCAGGTTAGGTAGGCGTGGCTACAGCACGGGAAATATCTCAAATTTACTTGGATACGAGTAATCATTTTCAGCAAAAAAATCAATAATTGCCCACTTCAGTGGGGCACAGATCTAAAATGGGAAGCGTGTGGGTGGGCATTGCACAGGCACTTTAATTTCTTCACTGTTTCTTTTTAAAGAAAGGTTTTTCAATTTTCTATTAAATTTGTAGCTCCGCTGTCGACTTTGTCTACGACACAGAGTTCTTCATATTACTGATTGCCATCATTGTCCAGTGTCTGTAGTATGTAGTCTTGTCATCAACTTTTTTCATTTTTGTCTTTCTCTTCAAAACCGTTAAACCGAATGCTTTCATATTTGCAACATAGATTCTTGGGGCAGTCCTCTGTCAGATTTGTTCATTTCGTGATGATATCTTCAATTATCTAATTTTGATGATTATTTTTGGTAAAAAGTGATATTTTCAAATGCTTGTTAAAAAACAGATTGCTTTGATATTATACATATTTTCTAATGATACAATGTATCTGCAGTTCTTTAATTGAAATGTGCATTGCTGACAGCGAAGCTATCTCTGCTTGTTTTAGAATGCAAACAAATTTTTACATGTAAATGTTTTGTTTTTTCAATTTAAGGTAGAGATGCATGTTTGTGGGAATGATTTTTTTTTTGCTTTTTATTATTTTATTATCCAAACAGTCTTGGCTATAGACTTAAAATTTTGTAGAATTGTGAATAGTGGAACATACTCAAAAAACGATTTTAAAATATAGATAACAGGTGCAAACATTCTCTTTTTTGAATGCTTAGCAAGATTTAGCAAGTCTGTACATAAATAATAAAAAAGAAACAAGGTGAAAAAAAGAAATGACGGGATCTCCATATTATGCATTATATTTAACTTTTAACAAAACAATAATACATTTAAATTTGGAACTTTACAGCCATTTTAAGGTAGAGATGCAGTTTATTTGGCTTGCTTTTTAATTGAGTAATTAGACAATGAAGATGGTATTATATATCCAACATGTTATATATTTTCTGAAAGCTTATTATACAAACTTTGTAAAACTTGTCTTTATTTTAAATATCCAGAATGCGTTTTTGATTTTGGGTCAAAAATATGCTTTTTTGGACAAAAGTGGTTTAAAAAAAATTAGCTTAAAAACTTCAAGTCCATTTGTGGGTAAAATTACATCACTGGATACCTTGGTATACTACTAATTCAAATGCGTCCACTCATCTCTCTAACGACTTTCAAAGTCGCACAGCATGACCTCAAAGTTCACTCTTTTCTATTTTTGCATAATTTATATATCCATGTTAATTGCGGACTTGTTATTTTTGTTCCACTCGCCGTAATAAACTGTCCGGACGCATTTTGAAGGGGGAACACCTTGTCAATAATGTGTGAAAATTTCGAGGCAAATGGCCAAAGCGTCTATCAGCTATTTTAATTTAAAACCCAAGAATTCACCAAAAATAGAAGACGAGAAAAAGGCTAATTTGCATATTTGCGCGTTAAACCGGGATTTACTGCTTTGTCATACTTTGTCATACTTTCTAGACTATTGAAATTGAAAGTTGACGTATAGACATAGACATTTTATGTAAAATCGTTGGACCAGAACAACTGCTCTTGAATATATAAATCAGAAACACGTCA